TGATTTTTTGGGAAATCCGGCAGGATATTGAGTAATTTAAAGATTTTAAATACAAGTAAGTTTAATGTATTGGCCCTAAAATAAAATGAGCAAACCGAAAGCATTATGAACAGAAATGATGTCTCAGTTAATGTTTGCAGTACTATAAATGACATCGCAAACCTACTTAGGTGGATCACAAACCTACCTAGGTGGATCACAAAAGTTTTATAGCAAAAAGATTATGAATGATGTGATCGTAAAATCGATCAAAGACCATATCGGCCCAAACAAGTGACCACAACTACAAACAGAATCAAGTGAATATTCTGAAAAGCACTGATCATTAGCCACAACCCAACATAAGGATCAGTGGTGCCGACAGCTCCACTTTAATCAGGAGTAGACATCAAAGTTAACAGAATATCAAACAAACAGAAAGGAAGGTGAGCAACAAGCCAACATGTTTGGTAATTTACCAGCATCTCTGTTACCCTAAACTCACCAGCAATCAAGATCCTACTTCATATCAGGGGGATTTGCGTTACAGTACAGGATATCAAAGTCTAAACTAAGCTCTTGATATCATCGCCCTTAGTTTAGGAGGGCGCTCACACAGTCACACCGCAGTACAAATATGTTGGCAACGTTCCAAGACAGGTTGGAGCGATATATACCATGTAACTCAGCACAGGAAGAAGGTGTACATGACAGAACAATGATAAATTCACATTTTGGCAAATATTAGATTATCTCCATAATTCCTGAGGATATCTTTACAAAATTCACGGAATGTTCTGCAGGGGTTTTTACAGTATATTGCGACGAAAATATGTCACTATGCGAGGGTGTTATGTCTCGTATCAACTGATTAGTAAGCTCACTCCTGCATAAAATATAAAATCAAGAAACCCACATTTTTCATGAGGAGTATTGTCACAAGTGAGCAGGTAAAGCAGTGTGGGCAAGTGTTTCCATATACCAGCTGCAGCAGCGCTGCTTGAAGTAAAAAGGAAGCTGGTTTAGTGGCCTAACATGGCTTCTGCCGAAGGTACATGACCTGCTGGGCTTGAGGGCTTTCCCCTCTCAGATAGGCTGACAGTGTCAAAGAATCGTCCTTTTTTAGTTTTCAGGGGTGGAATCATTCGTCCAGAATTTGTACTAAGTGCATCACTACACCAATCAGCCTGCAAATGACTCGTAACACCAGGAGAAAGAGACGTGCAGGAGTTTATAAAAGTACGGAGCTAAAAATTTACTTTCTCACGTGGAGCAGTGCAGCATTTAGTGAGAAATTCTCTTGAAAATTAGATAGCTCAGCCTGTATGTCTGGTCGGAAGTAAACTATCGCACCAGTTTCCAGTACTCGCTTACTTTATACTTATCAGACAACAAAACGTACAGTGAGACTGTTGATGTGAGTTTTGGAAATATGCCATATCTGGGTAGTATGTGTAAGAAGTTCGTTTCAACTCTTAACTGTGTTGGTGCCCGTATTAGAATGTTATTTATTTCGCGACTCCGCTCGATTCAAGGACCACAATACGAAACAAAATAGTTAACGCTCACAATTTCACAAAATAATACGCTGACCTTTACCTCTGCAAACTTTTCAACCACGACAAAAGTTGAGAACGCGCGCAGCTCAGTTTTAAACGTAATTTAATTATTAGTACAACATATGGCAATCTTGATTCTTGATCATGATGTTATCTTTTCGGTTTTGGGCAGCATAAGACGTTTTTAATGAACATCTTTTTAGTAATTATTCTTATTGATATGTTAATCAGTTAGTGATAGTCAATAGATCCACTGGAATATAATTATAAACAACATAGAATTAGAAACAAATTCCATCAAATATAAATAACAAAGTTCATAGAAGATAAATTATTAAGTTTTCTACTTTATTCTTTTATTCCACCAACCAGAAAATCGACGGCTTAGCTTATAGGTAAAGTTACTGCTACCGCTACTAAAATTTGGAATCGTATGTGGTGGTTTGTCATACAAGTGTATAGGAACGTACCGAGAATTATTTCCTATCGCTTTCTTTAAACCCACAGAAGTTGCTCCTAATTCTTTACATAAAAATCGGGAGTAAGACAGCTTTTTATCGCATGCGGTTGGTAATGATACAACTCCATTGGGATATTTTGTTCCCATTCTGTGAAAAGGGCCGTGTTTCTTCCGCAATCTTTCATTTATAGCTTGAAAAGAGCTGACTCTGATCGCGGAGCTAAAAGATCCTTTTGGAATTGCAGTGTTACTGGGGTCTGGTCTTGTAGAATACTGCATTGGCTGGCAGATCTTGATAAATTTTGTATTATTTTCTCTTGAAATTTCCCCAATCTCGTAGTCGTACTCAGTGTTCCTTTTCTCAATGTTCCTCTCCTCAATGCTCCTTCTCTCGATGTTCCTTTTTGGCAGTTTAATCCTCGACAGCCCGAGCTCCGCTCTCCGTGCCCTCTCCTTCTCCACCAACACCTTCCTCCTGCCCTGCAGGAACCTGAGTCGCTCCCCAAACTTTCGGGCTCTGCACTCCGCAGCAGCTTCTTTTACAGTTCGGTGGAAACCAATAAACCGGACCTTGTTGCTGCGGTCTGCTTCCCTCTGCATTTGTTTAACAGTCTTCACCAGAACTGTTTTAGAGCCTGACGAGGTTGATTCTCCTTCAGGGACATGGCTAAAGTCGCTTAGTCCTTTTTTGGTGTTGAGGTATTTCTTGAGACTGGCACCAACTTCATCGTTCACAACTTCAGCCAACTTTCGTTCACTCAACTCAGACTCCCCTGTTATGTAAGGAAACTCTGCGGGAATACCGGTTACTTCAGCTCTTTAGTAATAGTAATGGTGGGGTTACATCAGTATTATAGGGTTATTGTTTTTATTAAAGATTAAATAAATAACATTTTACTGCTCACCCAGCAGGTCGAAGGATACCGATAGTTTGTGGGTTTCAGAAACCTGCGACGGTCGTTGGTACAGCCAAAACTTTCTTAAAGCCGGCAAACTCATGATCAACAACACAAATAAAACGCAACACGGATTGATAATAATAGGACACAAAGTGGAGTAAGAAATGAAGACAACATGTTCGTGTTCCAGAGACGCTATATTACTTTACTGGGCTAGTAGTAGTAGTAGTATACTCTATGTATTTGCATGAGCCACAGTCTTGTTTGAATCGTGAGGAGCTGCAAGTTTTACTGATATGATTGGTAGGCATAAAGCTAGCAACATTGTTCAGTCAACGAATAATAAACAAGCAATGATCTCTGTGTTCAGGTGTTCTATCACATTTTATCATATTACCAGATGAAGTTATACTTCCACTAATGGTTCTGATTACGAAGCTTCTGAAGATTATGTACTTCAGGCTTTGAAATGGAATATTGAATAAGAGCTATGGATTTTAGAAATCATGGTATTTGATTAATAGAATTAAACGGGTTGCAGCGTCATGATGTTTGCAAACTGAGTCGGGGACTATAGGGCGCGAGACGTGAAAAAAAAACAAAACTCTAGGGCGGAGCCGCGGAGTTGTTTTAATTCAATCTTATTCAATAACTTGCATAAGTCTCAAGCAAGCCAGTTACAGATCTCTATGCTACCAACAGGGTCCGGACTCGTTGGATGTTGGATGTCCCCGCATGGACTTGCATGGCTCGTTATGAAAATCTGATCTTCCATTCTTCAATGTATTTCATATTGGTTTCTACTTGCTAGGGACGCTTCATCTCATCTGACAGGCAGGGTCGTAATGACGATCTGATCTGAAGGTGCATATTTACTGTCTAGCTAAGTTATTAGAATCGCACTATTGACCTAATACCGCACTTTATCGGACCATCGGCCGTTATTTTTTTTCTTTCAGATTTATGTACTTAACTATGGTTAAGGTCAAACATTTTTCATGACGTTACCTAAAAAACATCGAAAAAAGAAAGTCTCACTTTTAGAAATCAGGAAAACACATATTCCCAGATATATTCCCAACTATTTCATTATTCTTACATATTATCGAATGGAAAGTTGATAATGCAGCGACTTTTATAATACTATAATCGATAATTGATGAAAATATGTTGCCATATTACATAAAATTGATTCTAACAATCTCACATTAACAATATCGGAAATTTTAGACTTCTATACCGCAGGATATATTAAAAAGTTTAAGCAGTGTCAATTCCTTGAAGGAGAGCTGTGCATACGATTTTTCCTGCCCCGAAGAAGAAGATCATCTGGAAAATGTACGTGTACGCGTAAACGATATCCCAGTTCCTCATTAAGGAAGCAGGACCAGAGTTTTCAAGAGATAGTCCCTCACAATTAGAACGTTCGCCAATGTTGATCTTACACCACACAACACCAACACAACTCTTACCCAGCCACAAGGGGGTAAAACTAAAGAGTTTCCCATTATTAGGTTGATAAAAAAAACCAAGCGAGAATCGGTAAACAAGAAAGAAACAGTAAACAAAGAAATCGGGGAGGGGAGGATCAGAAGCGACGAACACATGGAAGATTTAAGTTCTAAAAAGCCCTCAATTAGATACGGACCATTGCATCGTCATGTTATAATTGCAGTTAACTGCACACTTTTTAAAATAAAACTAAACAATTCTACAATAAGTATAGTTTATAGAACCATCTTTCAATTTCGTCAATAAATCTTATCAAAGCTTTCTTCAATAGTTTAGTTTTCATACCCCGATAGTATATTGTGCGATGAATAGTGAACAAAATTCAGTCAAATAGTGAAATTTGGGTTGAGGAACTGGAAAGCTGATAGCTGCAGATGATGATATCAGATATGATATGAGACGTGGAATTATTTTTAAATTCACCATGGGATAGCAGTTGTACCACTTCATCTACGAAACCTGGCTGTTTTCAATGGCTTTCAAGTTATATCATCATGTACTTCAATGAAAAATGTAGCATCTAAGAAATAAAAGGCTGAGTTCAACAACAAAACAATCTGAACGACATTATAATTAAATACAATTTACCAATTCCTGGCAAAACAAGTATCTGGATATGTTTACCGTAAGTCTGCAGTTACTATACTCAATCGTAAAATTCTTGTAATAACTATACACCCTCGTTATAATTGGTAAGATTTTATTTTTCGACTTGGCCATTTACAGGTCCCTTACTAGCAATATCACAATGGTCCTCTCCATTTTCATCTGTGTGTTTTGTGTACTGGAACTCCTCTCCTACTAGCTTGGCAGGCTTGGTTGTCTTCTCACTATCAGTATATACCCACACGTACCAACAAACAAAGTAAAACGCACAACTTGCAGTTCTCATCGCCATTTGCAGAAACGTGAACCACAGCAGCAGTCTGAAAAGAAAACAAGTTTCAGTGATAGGCTTAGACCTTCAATTAAGATTTATTAGTTCAAGAAGTATGAATTTACAGCGGCTTTCTGCGAAACAGCGAAATAGTAATCGTACCTCCTGAATTTCAAAACTGGTATTTATGGTCATTGTTAATTAATGCATGTTAACCGTAACGAAAGTATATACATATCGGATAAAACAGAAAAATAGAGAAGTAGGAATGAATCAGGAGCTGGTTACACTCCTCACCAACCTGTCCACATCATAAACCCAGCAGTTCCCCACAGTCCCATCCTCCGACTCTCTCCAAACAACACAGAACGAATCAATAACCCAACCAAAAAGAAGAGGGGCTGGCATAGTTCCAAGTGCTCGTACTATACTAGATCTAATTCCCTGACAAAAAGTTCTGTCCACTTCATTAACAATCCTCTGGTAGATGTAGGCATGAGCAGCGAACCCGGAGAACCCGATGATGGTACCCACGGTGGTGAGAGTTAGGGAGAGCCACATGGTGGTGGTGCACGTGCTGCCACACTCTCCTGGGAGTGTTCTTCCAGACTTGGTGCACATGCAGTCTGTGTAGGATGTTACCTGGGATAGATTCTTCAGTTAAACTACAGGTCAGTTATAACTTATAGATCTTTAAAAAACAGTACAATAACTTGTCCGTTATTAATGGACTCGCCAGGTGCACTTTGCTGCGAATCATCGACATCAGTCAATACAATAACTAAATCGACAGATATGGCTGCTGTATTCTGAAATATTTATTGAGCAATCTATAAAAATATAAACGAGTTAAACTATCAGATTTTAAAACAAACTTTATACAGACACTCAGACAGTTGAATTGGCAAAAAGTTATTCGATTATCGATTTATTTTCTCGTTCTCATCGGGAACCGTGACTTTAGTTTTAGTTTTTAACGGATCTACTTATATTATTAGTTTTCCATGTCAAATAATAAAACTATTATCTCAAAGTTCAAACGAGTTACAATCTTAAAACTCGCTGACCATGCCTATCCGTCACTAACTCGGTCACGGTTGAGCTTGAGACGATGGTCACCGTCAAGGCATGGATGATGGAATCGATCGGGAAACAATCAAAATTTCGGTTCTGTCGTTTCTAATTAGAGTGGATCGCCAAAAATGTTTGTATCATTTTGGCAAAGACATTATAGTCGGATATAGCTCGGAGTTTTGTATCTGCCTGCATCGAGGGAACCGGTCACTGCGGCGGAAGTCACTGCGGCGGTGGACGGTACAGCGGAGGACGGTACAGCGGAGGACGGTACGGCGGTAGTTTTCAAAAAGGTTGGACGGTACGGCGGATCACATGACACCCACTTTACTTTGGACAGTACGGCGGTACTACTACTACTAGAGACCAAACCAACTATATTTACCTCAATTCTCTAGTCTTTTCAGACGCAGAATCTTCTACACTCTCTGACTTCTTCTGATGTCTGGGACTTACGACCCCAGATGTAGCTTTCAACGACGTTTTAAGGGCCCAACGTTCAGCTGTTCATCAGGGTTAAACTGGGCAGGGTCTTTCAGCCAGCTGCCAGTTGTCACTCCAGGTCTTGTTGTAGCGACTAAGCCAGATAGTGTAGGAACCTTTCAGGGACACCACCGCTGTTGTGTTAAGTGCCCTCTTCTTCTTTGCCCGGGTGATGTTAAGGAAGTTGAAAATTCGGGGTAATGTGTGGTGGTAGAATCCACGACATCCAACTTCTACTGTAAAGAGATATCCTTCCCAGCCTGCGGTCTCGATCTCCACCATTAGCTCTTCGTATCTCTTCTCTTTCCGGGATCTCTGGTCCTCAAAGTTCTCCTCGTTTCCACAGGTCAGCTCTATCAGGATGACTTTCCTGAGTGTGTTAGAGTATATTACCACATCAGGTCTGAGAGCTGTGTTGACAATATGTTGGGGGAATTGTCTTGTCCTTTCGTCCTCATCAAACACTAGTTTCCAGTCGTTACCTTCCTCTAGAAGATGAGGTTCTTCTGTAAGCCGTACTTCGGGTTTCCTGTAGGTTCCTTTTCCGGATACGAACTTCCTCCACTCTCTCTTTACTTCTGTCTTTGGGGTAGCACTGTTTATCTCCCTCAGCTTCTCTGCAATTGGTTGCACGATTACCCTGAGCACCTGATCATGTCTCCAATTATACCTTCCTTGTTTAAGCGACACTGGGCAACACGTTAGAATGTGCTTTAGGTTGCACTGCTGACGCCCACAAAGGGGACTGTACCTAAGACAGAACTTACACATTCAACTTGTTTCTAAGTTTTGTTCTAGATTCGCATTATAAGTTTTATTTTTTCTTTTCTCTTTATCATTTTGTATAATTCTTGTTAGTTTAGTTGTTCATTTTTTTTATTCAGGGCTTTGCAGACAATGTAAATCGAGAATATTGAGTTGTTGAAAATCAAAAAGTTAATATAACTTGACACACTCAATAGCAATAATATCTAAATCCCACAAATCATCATCAAGAAGTTACAGCAATCAATAATTCACATAACACTTCTGAGCAGATCCAGGTAAGTCAAGACATCATCTTCGTAAGAGTGGTAGTTCTGCACGATGCGGTGAATCCTCCTGTCCTTGTCACTGTGAGCTTTCTTCCTCTTTGGTGGGTTCTCTCCGACCAGGTAGGCTGCGTGCTTCCCATCTGTTGAACTCTGCTCCATCTGAAGTGCTGTGATGAAGTCTCTGAGCTTGCTTCTTCACCGCTTGTTCGCTGGGGAGGAGGAATCGAGCAGTCTGGGACAGCGAGCCAGTAACGGAGCAGTAGATTCTGTGGTTCTGAGTAATCGTAGTCGCAGCCAGATCGTGGACTTGGGAGAGGACTTCTCGGATTTCGCAGTCATGTCGGCACTGTGGTTTGATCCGCTTTATATACTGTTTGATCCGCTTTATATACTGTTTGCCTCTATCATTATCTACGTTTCACTGAGCAACCTCTCTTCTTGGCTACGGTTGATCAGATTCCTGGATGCGATCCCTCGTGACGTGTTCTCATGCCCTTGTTATTACCCATTGCATCTCGGCGCAGTGATATGAGATCTCACCGTAACAAGCTCATCATGCACTCGCTTAACCACCGTTGTGCAGACCGGACGCGATATGATACGAACCAGAAAGTGGAACAAGAACTGCTCTTAGTAATCACAATGTATATGTTAAACTTTATCCAATTTAATTTTAATTAAAATTAATTTCGAAGTAACAAAGAGGAAAATAGAACTTTTTAGAGCTAATCGATTTTGTTATATTAGCAGTGCTAGGTCTATCTTATAGGTACAGTTTCTAGTAGAAGTAGTACCGCCGTACTGTCCAAAGTAAAGTGGGTGTCATGTGATCCGCCGTACCGTCCAACCTTTTTGAAAACTACCGCCGTACCGTCCTCCGCTGTACCGTCCTCCGCCGGACTGTACACCGCCGCAGTGACTTCCGCCGCTGCGTCCTATACCCTGCATCGAAGCTACGTCATGAACCCATGCCTTGCGCGGTTCATGTAACCCAATCTTATTATTATTTGTCAATTGTGAATAAGTATTAGCAAGACCGATTTCAGAAATGTGAATTGTGAACCCTAACGCCAAAGAGTACATCCCAGATACCCTAACGGTACCTTTAGGTTTTTACAGATTCAAATCCCAATTATCATGAAAACAAATACATAATTTTAATGTACTTGCCTACATGGCTTGTTTACTTTTTGATTCCTAAAATGGAAATTAATAATTTCATAATCACATCTCTTCAGCTTTTATTGAAATAGAAGCGCTGCTATTATCAGCATAGTCATTATTGTTTTCACTGTCTTTCTTGGAGTCCTCTTCGTTAACAAGTTCCCGTAATTTCATCCCGTTATTTTCCTCTTCAGCCACGCAGCCCTCGGGGAACAGCCACCAACTCAGGAAGTAGAAAACGACCGTGAAAAGACGCAGAACGATTTGCACCACCATAAACCAGAGGATAAACCTGAAGTAGCATGGTAGTCATGGTAACATGGTAGTCATTCAGGGAGTTGAAGTATATCACAGCAGTGCTTTTATCCTTTTATTTAAGCATCATTTTAGTTATACCCCAACTTACTTGTCCACGTCATATAACCAGCAGTTCCCCAGTTCCCCGTCCTTAGTTCTCCTCCACACAATACACGCACTATCCAGGATATACCCGAATATTATAGGAGAGGGTAGTGTCCCTAGAACCCTGGTTAGACACTGTCTCAACCCTTGAGCTGTGGTCCTGTCTTTCTCCGACACTATCCTCTGGTAGACCACCGAGTGAGCAGCGAACCCCACGAAGGTTATGGCTGTTCCAACTGTAGTAATGGCTAGTGAGATCCAGACGGTGGAGGGACAGGTTCCACCACAGTCGCCAGCGCGCGCCGTCCCAGTTCCCGTGCACGTGCAGTTTGTGTAGGCTGTCACCTGGGGATATTCTTTAAAATACATGACAGGGGCGTTGTTCCTTTCATTTTCTTGGTTCTGATTTTTCTGTTTCTCCAGCAGTTGCAAGCTTTAATGGTTACACATCCACTTGTTTCATTCGGAAACTATGCACGAGCTACATTAAAACATCAAATTGATGCGACACATAAAGAATGAATATAAGCGTTTGATTGGTATTTGGTATCATCTCAGCATCAAAATGGCACCACAATCTACAATATATACATGCATCGACATCATTGATTAATGATTATGATGATCAAGCAAAAGCAAACATTGAAAAGTAAAAGAAATCTAGGTTAATGAGAATTTAATGAGAAACACAAATGTTATCAAATATCAATAGGAATCCTTTTTGCCATTTAGTTTGTCACGGTACAATAATAACAGAATACAGTACGCACACAATGAATTCAGCATATGTTAGGAAAGTTCACGAAAGTTTAAAAAAAGTTTGTCTGTAGCAATCATTTTATGATGTTGTTTATTGAATGGTATCTAAGCAGCCGAATAGAAAATAAATCAATGATAATGGTACTATTGTTTCATGATCAAAATTATAGTCGATCAAAGCTAACCAACTCACAAACCTCCAAATATCGTATAGCAGCAAGACTTCAGCTAATTAACGATTAAATCACAAAGCAATGCTTTTCATTAGAAAATCGAATTGATTACTATTTAAGAAGGTTTCTGGTATACATGAAATGGTTTGAGAGATGATTTAAATGGACATCACACTGGAAATTAAACGATTTGTAATGAACATCACACTGACAATCAAACGACTTGACCCACCTGACCGTCCACAAGTTCCACGTCCATACAACCAGCATGACAGGGAGAGAAGAAGGTAACATTTCCATCACACACTGGCTGGTAGAAAGCGGTGGTGCAGGCGCAGTCAGCGTTACATTCCCCCGTCAGAGAAGGAGGGCTGTGGGAATATACCAGGGTTAGTTAACATCACTAATCCTCACTTAGTTATGCTGTGGAACCACGGTTAGTGGTTAGGTTATCTATTGTACATGTACAATTTTTAAATCGAGTTATTCCAGCCAAAAACACTGGATTACACTCCTTTTGCTTGCTCTTCTTTCCATTATATTGTATAATTTTATATTGAGTTTTATTACTGTAACTTACCTTAGCTGAGAAGAGTTGAGTATTTCAGAGTAAGGTAAATCTACACCAGCGTATGTGTTGACCGGGCAGTATAACAACATTCCCAATGAAAAAGGTACTGCAGCTGCCGTCAATATCGAGTATAACAACTGCAACGTTTTCGCTGAAATTTCAATGGTTATTATTATGGGCGCCTACCAGCATATACTTTTTGCTTACATCAGCATTTTTATTAAAGTTTTATCCTCACGTTCAAAAGCACTTTCATCAAATAAAAGAGATAAATAAATTGCAATACTTAAATTGATATCATTTGCTTTTGTTGGGAAAAAGGAGATACATGTGACGGTCCACTTTACCCAATTGTGGGGTTTGGTAAAAAATAAAATAGATAAATGAATTGCATGAATTCTCTTACGGTGCCAGTCCCTCCACCTCATTAGAAGTCCCCCAGCTATAAGTCCCACTGCAAACCCGATAATGTTGGATATTCCTAATATACTCCCAACTGATTTACTATCCAATCTGAAATACACTGTTCTCAGGAATGTATGAATTACATTACGAAAGAATTTATTTATCTAACCATTCAAAATGGACATTCAATAGTCCATGAACATTCGGCTGTATATGAACTGTGAAGAAAAAAATCATATCACTTTGTAATTTGTATACAGTTGAGTTACATTAATTTGTAAGCATATAATGCACTATGTAAAAAGAACAGCCCAACTAAAAAGAGGAACGACCCAACTGAAGGCTGGTTTGTTATGGTTAGTGATTCAGGAATAGTATACCTGAATATTAAAGCGTATATCTTAGGATAAAAACTGTATGCTCCAATTTGCAGGAATAAGAAAACATCTCCGATAATCAGGCAATTCAGAGCTTTGTTCTTAAAGACTCTTTTGAATGCTGGAATCATGTCCAATGTTATCTCTTTCAGTGACCGTCCAAGCTCTTCTTTTTTCTCTAAAACTGTCGTGATACCTCGTCTTACTTTGTCTTTTAGAACTTTCTATGGCGGCATACAAAATGGTAAAATGGAGAATCCTCAAAAAGGGTGATGAAATCGATTCAGTTTGTCAAAATCGCAAAATTCTGAAGAAGACCTAGAATAAATTCACCATTGAATGGAACTGAAAAGTAATTTCTAGTAACAAATATTTCAGTTTTCACCTTTGCTGCAGGCATCTGTCTCGGATAGAGCAACACAAAGAAGCTGAGTACAAATACAGCGATAGCGGGGAAGAACATGCCCATCCACCACGCTCCTACCCACTCCTTACTTTCAAAGGTAACCCCCTCCGGAGGGTCGAAAGTAACGTAGTACTGGAGAAACACAGAACCTGCTAACATGGATATTGGGTATCCTATAAAGGATACTACGTAAAGAAGGGATATCGCTACTCCAAACTGCTTTTGGGTAAAGATCTCGTCCATGTAAGTGGAGCCGGCTATTCCTGGAGGTGCTGCTCCAAAACCTTGGAGTAGTGCACTGAAAAGTTAGTGAAGTTTGGTACACTTACATTAAATTCTCAATTTACCGGAAACCCCGATTTACCGGAAACCCCGATTTACCGGAAACCCCGATTTACCGCGGCCATTTCCTTTCCCCCAAATAGGGCACATACATAGTGTAAACAATAAAAACCACGATTTTTCCGCAAACCCTGATTTACCGCAGCTTTTTTATTTCACCAAAACTCCGCGGTGAATCGGGGTATTAATACTGCAATAACACTGTTTCTTAACCGTACAATTAAAAATAAATGCGGTTTTTTAAAAACTACGCAGTAATTTCTGCATTTTAATAAAATGCAGAAATTACTGCGTAGTTTTTAAAAAACCGCATTTTGGGTAGAATCTAACCAATACTTTTAATTTTTATCGCTTAATCATCAATGGAAGACAGTAGGTTTTTGTACCATGTCTCACTTTTAATAGCACATTGCATATTCATTTAATGATGGTGGATGCCAAAAGAAATGAGGAGCAATATAAATTACTACAAAACTTACCCAAAGACAAAGATCCAGTAATATTGGTGGTTTCGAATAGCGTAACCTTCTGACTCGTCTATACCGTACTCTGATCTGGATTCATTACATACTCCGTAACTTTCAACATCGCTTCTGATTGTTTGGTTGAAGCTTACTTCAGTGCGGTTTCTGGGGAGAGGGTACTGAAAAGGTTTACAAAAGTTTACAAAAAGTTTACAATCTTAAAATTTCAGAGAATATGCAGCTCCAATCACATTGTAGACTGTAGTCTTTTTCAAACTTTTTGAGCACTAAGGGTTATACTGTTATATAACACTAAATGTTTTTTATCGACAAAGCTTCAATGAAACTACCTTATCAGTATTTTTTGGACGTCGCTTATGAATGCAGTATGTTCTTTTCTGCTGATAATTAATAAATTACGGCCGCTCATGCAGTTAACAGTTTGGTCCGTTAAAATTTGGACCAATAAAGTAGCCGTGATGACCTATTAATTAACTGTTAACCTAATTCAACTGCTAATACAAATGTAAACCTCTGCAAATAGGGTAACTGAAGCTGGTAGAATTGTTGCGATCACCACCACAATCATACCTATACCGATCCACCTTGTTTTTCTTGCGCTACAGTAGTTAGCTATAAATAATGCTGCTACAGTTCCACTGATATCGTTTGCCATTAAGATCACGCCTGAGGGTCGAAGAAAATAAAATATCTAAGTTCGTAAACTGCTATATGTCAAAATTGTCAGCTTAAGAGTTTAATAATATTTGAGAATACATTTTATATCATTATAACATACAGCAATGTTTTCTTTTTGTAAATTTACCTGTTTGCTTGGAGTTCAGATTAAATACTGACTCCAAAGTTGGTATAATCATACTGAGAATACCGTAAGACATGACCATAAAGAAGTTACCCACAGCAAATATAGATGTAAAGACGGCGGGCTTGTTAAGACACTGAAGTATTTTAAAATCATTGGAATATATAGTCATCAAGAACCAGTATATTGTGAAAAACAGCGTGAATTACTCGATCATGTGAATTTCTAAACAGTTCCCAAACCTAAAGAAAAGTAACATTCAATTCGTTTCGAAAGAGGTGAAGAAACTAAAGTTGGACATGATAACATTATTTATTTAACATGGACGTGTTACCTCCAAGAAGCGTGGTCGCCACCCCATATAACCCATCTGGGTTATCTTCCTATCTGTGTCATCCCAACTCTCATGTGCTCCTAGTTTCTTATAGTCCGCCCCCTCTGGCATCTCTTCGCTGAATTTAAAGGTATTTAGAACACCAGTCTACAAGAGTGAGTTTTCATTTTAGATAGGACTGATTAAGTTGTGGTGAAGATGACAACAAAAATACCACACAGAGCTACTGGTACAGCGAGCACGGTCACATTGTTAACGTGGCTGAGAAACTTACTTTTGAAAATTTGTGTAACCCATGAGTTTACTCAGATCTCATGAATTTGAACGACTCGCAAAGGGATTAAACTGGTCAATAAATTTAGGTTTGATGCACGAGAGAACAAAGCAATTGCAACACACACAGATTTACAACAACACGTCTGGATCTCAGGTGTAAAGCAAACAAAGCTATTATATTTATCTCACATGTAAAGTGTCCTCATATAGGTTATCATAACAAACAATATAATCGTATCTTATGAATTTATGAGCGTATGTTTTTTACAGCTGCTTATTTAACATAGTTTATACTTTTGTAATTTCTATCACCAATATTTTTAGAATCTACATAATCGATACACAGGAACAATAATTAATCCACGCTTTGGGAGTTGTGGGGACTGGTATTTCCCAGTTCAAATACTAAAGAAGTTGTGGAAATTCCACAAAGTCGTAAGTTTCGCAAACTTACAAGGTAGTTCAGATTATACCGTAGTCGGAATACAAACACCCTTATTTGAGTATTTGTCCTCCTCTTTAAGGGAGGACTGCTAATGTAATAGTCAGAACCTGATACTCTCTAATATTTTATATTCTAATGGTCTAATATTTTCGGTTGCAACCTTTTTTGATTGACCTCATACAAAAACATACATGCAGCATCTCCTCAAAAGAACGAAAATAAAAGATCGCTAATGAACAAACATCATGTAAAATAAGCTTAATAATAAACAATTTAAGATACAGTTTCCTATAGTAAAGGAACGAAGACACTGCAGGTACTGATGGTACCGTACCGTAATGATTAAAATAAAATCAGGTGATCAGTAAAAATCAGGTGATCATTGATCAAGCTTAAAATCTCTAGGTAGTGCAAGTGCAACGAATGGGTACTAATCTAGACTTAGCACTAGCAGTAGATACTATCAGTAATTCTGTTTGGCTGCATTCCTATAAGACTTTAAGAATTTGTCGCATACATGCCAAAAATATTTACGTTTGATAATTTTAGCGGCTGAAATTTGAAATTTTGGACAAACAGCAAGTCATTCAGCAAGTCATTATATGTTAAGTGATAAGTTAAAATATAAAACACAACAACTAATAAAATACAAGCTACACAGAAAGTTAAGCAATGTACTCAAACTAAGTTGGATGAGTGTTTGATTACGGTGCAGGCTGTGACGTGTAGTCGTAATACCCTGCTAGGAAGCACAAATTAGGGACACGTCCTACACAATATAGTAAAGGAATAACTGAATAGCTCTCCAGTCTAAAGTCAAACGCGGTGGAAATATTTAATTTAATGAACTGTGAAAGTCTATACACATATTACCTTCGCATATTTTCTGAATTAATATTACATTTTTACTCTTGTTCAATTTACATAAACGGGATTAAACGGGATTAAACGGGATCACACGTAACCAATACCCGATTATCGACCTGTAATCTGCATGTATGTTTAATTTTGATATCTTATATCATGATGTAAATGCGAGGTAACATAACAAAAAGCCAGACCGAAGGTACATGGAACCATATGAATGAAATTCGTAGAAATGAAACCGATTACTGTATCATGAACATTACAATTCTCACCGAGGCATGATTGCTCGTTATCAAAAGTTACTGCACCTCACATCACTAAAACAAAGAAAATGTTCAAACATTGCTCTAATCGGAATCCTATGCGAATATAAGGTTATATTATAAGAGTATGCTGTAGGACTTAAAACTATCGAAGTATTAATAACTTCAATAACTATGATAATATATAACATAAAGTAATGAATATAAGTATAAAAACTTGAATAGGTTCGGGTAAGACAAATAAGCTATGAAATTGAAGCTTACCTCATATCTCTACCTCAGAAACGGCGAAGATTAAAATTGTAAATGAAAATTTGTTGTAGATTCTAAGATTTTTGTAAACCTATATCCATATTTTCATGGTGACCCGTCACGGGAGTAAAAAGTCACAGATTTATCAAATTTAGAATTAATATCCATGATTGTAATATGTCCCATTTTCCCGGGCCTGCAAACTAATTACATTTTAAGTTGTGTCCCTGATCCATTTTAGCCAGTTACGAAGCTTCTTATCGGAGTTAAGAAATTTGTAGCCAGTTCCTCAAGTTTCATACTCAAACTTTAATGTCACATTCAGCAGTTCCCCAAGTTTCATACTCAAACCTAAGTGCTCAAGTACGTCAGCAAGTTTCAAAATTTAATGTTATATTCAGCAGAATCAGGCCTGCTGTCAACTGCAGTCGTATTTATGCATTTTAAAACTTTTAAAAAGTAAATGCAGTATTCACTATTCATTATAGCTCGTCAAAACATAAATTCCTGATCCACTAATCAATTCAGTCGGCGTATATATTTATTAAATTGAGTGTCATCTTTAATATTAATACTTTAATATGACCTACTGGACGGTGATTTTTTATTTCTACGAGTTCAAAATGAACCGATAATGGGAACCGAAATTTCAATTCAATATGAAATTGAAATGAAAATTAATCAAAAATAACAGCAGATAAGATTTGTATTAGTAAAAACGTAAAGCTATAGGCTACAAATAAAACTAAAAGCGCTCCACAATCTAATCTTAAGTATAAGCATTTTGAAACGCCTTCAGTTGACTTTAAAGACTGCTGGGAGCAAGGAATTAAAAGTTAAATGAAGTTACACTGATAAGTGCAGAACAGTTAGCATCCAGACGACACCTGCACTGTCATGACTGACCTTAACAGTAAACCACCTGATTTGTAGACAGTGTAGATAAAATGGAGCTAAACGTATAGACACCAGGAATCAGAACGACAAAAGCATGAAAAAGGACGTCATGCACTTATGTTTTTCTGAAATAAGAAACCGCTTTGGTTGTATGCGTCTGATTAGTGATTATGTGAACATGTGAGTCTAAACCAAAAACAAACAATGAAATGGGGTATCAGCCGATCTTTGATCACGGAAATCCTTTCCTTTCCAATAAAAGGCGAGAGAGTATTGCTATCCAGTGTTATCGGAGATCAGTATCTTTAATCCAACCATAGCTGATTACTGCTATGGTAACACAAGGGCTTTTACTAAATCACAGTTCTCTATCGCGTGATATCGCTTCAGACATTTTGTTCCAGTCATACATTTACAGTTTATACCCGTAAATCTGATCTCCAACATACACTGCAACCCCCAAACCTTTAAAAGTTTCTTAAATATGGCTGATACAATTTACATATGGCTGATACAAATTACAATAAACAACTTAAGTGCAGAATACAATTTTTATGTTAGTTCTATATCGATTCTGAAAATTTCAGCCCCTAAACTTTAATTGAAAACTCACCAGTCAGGATCAGTGACAGTGTTTTTATTCGCTATGATTAGGATCTTTGGTTGTGCATCCCTCTCTGCTTCTCCACTAGCTCCCTTGTAACACATAGTCTTATAGTTTGACACAAGTTGTGGTGAAAGTGTGGTCCCCGTTTCAGCTCCTTCATTTTCTATCAACATTCTGGGGTGGAAATTGTTATGGAAAATATAAAGAACGAATTGGGGCAAATATGTACAATGCTGACCGGCTGTAAGCTGGCGGTAACGGTAACAGCCCTCTGACAGCACTCTAACAGCTACCTAATAGCCCTCTAACAGCACTCTAACAGCACTCTAACAGCACTCTGATCACAGCCCTCTAACAGCCACCTAATAGCCCTCTAACACCACTCTTACATCCACCTAATAGCCCTCTAACAGCCCTATAACATCCACCTAATAGCCCTCTAACAGCCCTCTAACAGCCCTCTGATCACAGCCCTCTAACAGCCACCTAATAGCCCTCTAACAGCCACCTAATAGCCCTCTAACAGCCCTCTAACAGCCCTCTGATCACAGCCCTCTAACAGCCACCTAATAGCCCTCTAACAGCACTCTAACAGCCACCTAATAGCCCTCTAACAGCACTCTAACAGCCACCTAATAGCCCTCTAACAGCCCTCTAACAGCCCTCTGATCACAGCCCTCTAACAGCCACCTAATAGCCCTCTAACAGCATTCTAACAGCCACCTAATAGCCCTCTAACAGCCCTCTAACAGCCCTCTAACAGCCCTCTGACCACAGCTCTCTAACAGCTACCTAATAGCCCTCTAACAGCACTCTAACAGCCACCTAATAGCCCTCTAACAGCACTCTAACAGCCACCTAATAGCCGACGCTTACTTAGATTTTGTTTATATTATCCGACAAAAAAATACGATAACATGATTCTTCCCAAAAAACACAACTGATGCTTTTATCCGTGACTGAGTAATGGTGATTGTTAAGATCTTATTTCAAAACAAGAATTTAAACGACCCCTATGGCGTTATGCTGTTAAATATCATACGATCAGACCTAAATATTTTCACATTATCCTTGAAGTATATAAATTATGTATCATTATTTTAACCTCTAACGTATACTTCGAATGATAAAATGTAATCACGCCCTTTTGCAGGTGAAAGTTTGCCAAATTAATTGCGAGCCATATGTCGACTAAGCTCCCGTTGAAATAATTATACTTTCCTTTATAATTACAAAAGTTTCCATTGGGTATTTATAGTGGATATTCATCTTTAAGCTTTACAGTCACACGGTTTATTTAACTAGGAATTTAAACCAAGAGTCTCAGCAGTCAGCACATACATACCTACAGTTTTATAGGAGCCAACCATACCTTAAAGTAAAGATACAGTTAAACTGCGAAGGCACAACACCAAATCAACCCTACTCTATCTCCCAAAAACAACATTCTCCTGGTCGGCCATGTCCCTCATCCTGCACTTGACCCCCGCAGAGGTCACAAGCCCATCGGAGCACAAATGAGCGAGAAACGGGGAAGCCTTAGCTACCGGGCCAAGGACTGCATCACTAGCAGCGAAATACGGATATACCCTCCCTTTTACATGCGTTCAACCGGCACCCGAACCACACGCTGTTTCTTAGACATAACTTCCCACTTACATCAGTGTCTTCTCGCATCAAATGGCATCGGCAAGTGGCGACACTGTGTAGACTCAACCCTGAGCTTGATCAGAATCTTCAGTCACAAACCTGACACCGTTTCGGGGCTTTCATTGCGATACGGTTTTCTGTCAGGTGCCCCAGCAGTCTCTCTTGGACCACCATCTGATCTGACAATCACCCGAGGATACCTGCTAGAGCTCGCGATTTACGACGAGTTAGCTTATGGTACCTCTGGCTGTTAGGTGAAGTCATAAAGCTCAAACAGCTCTCATCTCCCACTCTCTTTTCCTAGACAGCAGATAAATCCATCTTGAACAATGGGCTGCATCCTTCCCACAATCTCTGACCAACTTCTTGAGGGCTCTCCCAGTCAGACCGATCTTCCTTGATGCACACTCCAAACTTGCTGCGACCACACCTCTAGCACCAACCTCAACAGCAAAGCTGAAACATGACCACCCATTAGCTTGTATTTCCGCTTGTAGACTGTTATACCGATCAAGCTTCAGCTCATGTGATGCAGCTATTCTCTCTTCCGACGGTACTGTAAGCTCCCACCAGATTACTCTCTTGGAAGCTTTCGAGAAAAGAACCAAATCTGGTCTTAATCTGGTCGTTGCTATATCCGACGGGAATTTCAGCTGCTTATCCAGGTCTGCTAATACTATCCAATCAGTGGCCCCACTCAGAATCCCAAACTCACTGACTTTCGACCTCTTCACCTCCTTAAACCTCCCTCCTGCTGGGACAAACTCAATGGCTTTCCGAGTGACACAAGAACTCTTCCTCTTGTTGACTCTCCGCTCACAATGGAATTTAACCTGGTCTGCTATTTGTTTAAGCACCTTATCGTGGCGCCATCGGTATCTCCCTTGACTTAGTGCCACAGGACAACCAGCCAGGATATGCGGCACAGTTCCCAACTTGTCACCACACAGCTTGCACATCCCATCCTCATCCTCGCTCCACTTGGATGCTAAAGCTGGTGTAACAAGCGTGCCATACACAGCACTAAGCAGAAAACCGATTAATGAGTCCCCATACTTGAAGAGCGTGTGCCAGCTCATGTCAGTCCTTGTCACCAACTCTCTCCAATTACCCCACCTGGACTGCATCTCCAACGTACCCAACTGCACCTCTCTTTCCTTCCTGATGTTCTCCTTAACCCTATCCAACACCTCCCTCTGCTGCTCCTTTTCTGACATCTTCTCCCAGGGCTTCTTCCAATCACCGAAACCAATTCCCGCTCTACTAAGAGGTTGCACCATACCTCGCACTGACTCACACACCAAGTCTCTTTCAGCTTCGTGAAGCTGAGCATCTGCCTTCCAAACTCTCCCAGACCGCACCTGGGGTTGCACCGCTCTGATCAAAGCATCCTGAGATGTTTGATATGACTGCAAGAGACGGCACTTTTCTACTTTCCAAGTGTCGGTTAGGACTGGATAAATATCAAAAACCTTGGTTGACCGGACTGCGATATCGTAAAATTTTTAGTTCAGTTGTGGAATACAACAAGAAAATTGAAAATTGAGAATAATATTGTGCCTTTTTTAAGGCGTTTTTTTGTTGAATGGTCCCTAGTTACGCACACATGAGAATCTCGACGGCAGAAGGGTGGTAGCAGAAGGCGGCAGCCATTGGCAACAGAAGGTTGCAAAAGGCGGCAGCCAGTGGCAGTAGAAGGTGGCAGAAGGCGGCAGCCAGTGGCAGGGATAAAAGAAAATCGCGGCATGTGCGGATCGCGATTTTTCCCATTTTTTGCGACAAATTTTATATGTCGCCTGTTTGGCTTGTCGCAGTACTGCGATTTTTGGCCAAAATAATCGCGATTTTCTTTTGTCCCTGGTCAGCGGCAGTAGAATATGGCAAAAGGCAGCAGCAGAAGGTGACAGAAGTCAGCAGCAGCACGTGACAGAAGACAGCAGCAAAAGGTGACAGAAGGCAGCAGCAGAAGGTGAAATAAATCAGCAGCAGAAGGTGACAGAAGGCAGCAGCAGAAGGCGGCAGCCAGTGGCAGTAGAAGGTGGCAGAAGGCGGCAGCCAGTGGCAGCATAAGGTGACAGAAGTCAGCAGCAGAAGGTGGCAGAAGGCAGCAGCAGAAGGTGACAGAACGCAGCAGCAGAAGGTAACAGAAGGCAGCAGCAGAAGGTGACAGAAGGCAGCAGCAGAAGGTGACAGAAGGCAGCAGCAGAAGGTGGCAGAAGGCAGCAGCAGAAGGTGACAGAAAGAAGCAACAGAAGGTGACAGAAGGCAGCAGCAGATGGTGACAGAAGGCAGCAGCTGAGCAGCAGAAGGTGGCAGAAGGCAGCAGCAGAAGGTGACAGAAAGAAGCAGCAGAAGGTGACAGAAGGCAGCAACAGAAGGTGACAGAAGGCAGCAGCAGAAGGTGACAGAAAGAAGCAGCAGAAGGTGACAGAAGGCAGCAACAGAAGGTGACAGAAGGCAGCAGTAGAAGGTGACAGAAAGAAGCAGCAAAAGGTGACAGAAGGCAGCAACAGAAGGTGACAGAAGGCAGCAACAGAAGGTGACAGAAAGAAGCAGCAGAAGGTGACAGAAGGCGGCAGCAGAAGGTGACAGAAAGAAGCAGCAGAAGGTGACAGAAGGCAGCAGCAGAAGGTGACAGAAGGCAGCAGCAGAAGGTGGCAGAAGGCAGCAGCAGAAGGTGACAGAAAGAAGCAACAAAAGGTGACAGAAGGCAGCAGCAGAAGGTGACAGAAGGCAGCAGCTGAGCAGCAGAAGGTGGCAGAAGGCAGCAGCAGAAGGTGACAGAAAGAAGCAGCAGAAGGTGACAGAAGGCAGCAACAGAAGGTGACAGAAGGCAGCAGCAGAAGGTGACAGAAAGAAGCAGCAGAAGGTGACAGAAGGCAGCAGCAGAAGGTGACAGAAGGCAGCAGCAGAAGGTGACAGAAGGCAGCAGCAGAAGGTGACAGAAGGCAGCAGCAGAAGGTGACAGAAGACAGCAGTAGAAGGTGACAGAAGATGGCAGCCCCACAATGATCTGCCACATAATTCACAGAGTAAAGCATCGTATAATGTTGCTACTTAGCAATTATTTAAAACATTTAAAAGTTATTCTTGTAACCTTATTTAGTGTTTGCGATGATTATCAAAATAATGCATTTAAAAAAAAACTTGTATTATCATTTGTAATCGTACGACCACACTCTGGCTACATACTCGATAAAACTACGAGAAGATGAACCAAAGCTCGCTAACTCAAAAGCTATAATCCTAGAATCAGAACTACTAACTGTCTCATATACTGAAAGTAACGGCGATATTGGATGTGCTCATATGAACCTAGTGTGAACTGTGAACATTTATAGTTCTGGCTTCTGGGCGGACAGCTGAGTAAAGCAGTCACGCTCACTTTTTGACAGTTCTATCACTCTTTACTGTAGCGTCATTACTCTATCGATCATTCGTTATCGACTTATTGTATCCTTCGTAAAAGAAATTATTAATCAGAGATTAAAAATAATGCATTTTCATGCTGCTGCAGACT